CCCTGGGCAGCCTGGTCTAGTATTAAATGTGGAGGTTGGTGGCCCTGCGTGTGGAGATTTATGATCCTTGAGGTCCCTTCCAACTCTGGCCATTCTATGATTCTGTGACTTCCAACTCAAATGGATGCTTTGATTGCATGGTTCTATACATGAAAAAAAAACCCTCCAGTCTAAATACATCCCATTTTCTTGTGTGCAAGTGCACTATAACATATACCTCACAACCTGCCTTCTTCATCCCAACCTGAGTGCTTTCAGCATCCAGTACAGAGAGATGTGCAAAATATTTTGTGATGATAGAAAGTCTGCAAAGCAAAATTGATTTTAGATATGACAATGATAAAATATTTAGGCTGCCAAGACATCATCAAAATCACTATGCATTGCAGACCTGCCCTTTTACGTTTTTTTTCTTTTTTTCTTTTTTTTTCCCCTTCTTTTTTCGTTTTTCTTTTCTCTTTTTTTTCCATTTTCAAAGCAAGATTTTCCTCCCTCTACTCAGACTTTTGAAACAGGTCTGAAGTAGTGCCAAACTGATTCCAAAGCACAAAACTGTTTATGAACCATAAAAAGGATTTTAGTCTGGTGGATTCGGCATTTTGGACATTTGAATGTTCAGATCATAGATCGTTAAGACCTTCAAGATAACCAATCCCAGCATCCACTCAACCCCATCATGCCCATTGACAATGTCCCTCAGTGCCACATACCCATAGTTCATAGAATCATGGAATCGAATCATAGAATGGCTCAGGTTTAAACACCCTGCTACAGACAGGGCCACCAACCTCCAGATCTGGTAGTAGACCAGGTTGCCCAGGGCCCTATCCAACCTGGTCTTGAACACGTCCAGGTATGGTGACCCCACTGCTTCCCTGGGCAGCCTGTTCCAGTGCATTACCCCTCTTTCAGAGAATAATTTTTTCCTACTACACAACTTGAACCTCCTCTGGCACAACTTGGGGCCATTCTGTCTCCTATTGCTGTTACCTGGAGAAGAGGCTGATGTCCACCTCACCAGAATCTCCTTGCAGTGAGTTGCTGATAAGGTCTCCCCTGAGCCTCCTTCAGACTGAATGATCCCAGTTTCCTCATCTGCTCTTGTTTTCCAGACCCTCTATCAGCTTTGTTGCCCTTCTCTGGACATGCTCCTTTCTTATGAGGAAGCCTGTGGGATTCTAATCTATATTTTCTTATTGTAGTTAACCATATTAAGTTTACAAGCTGTTAACAAGAAAATAACTCAAAGTTTAAAATCACAGCAGTTCTGGAACTGAAGAAATAAATATTCCCTCTACAGGCCAGGAGTACACAATGGGAATAAACAGTATGTACAATATTCAGTTACAATTAGTTTTAAAAAAATAATTAAAAACATTGATGTATGTTTCTTTTATCACCAAATGGATGTTGGATATGACAAGGTTTGTAATTGCTATAGGAAAAGAAGCCATTTATGAAACTGGTTTTATAACTGGGCAGAATACATTAACAAATGGTTTTATGGGGCATGTAATAACACAGATTGTTATTCTTTTTTTCTTTTTTTTTTTCCCCTTGTGAAATGCAAACAGAAATGTATGGTTAGCTGTTAATGTAATTCAGTGAGAAATTTTTATTTATTTGTTGTGTTTTGGTAGGGTTCTTCAGTGTAACAACCTTTTATTTCTGACTTGTCTCTAGCAATCCTTTCAGCCCTTGCACTCTCAGAAGAGATGACCACAAACTATTGTAATACATTTTTCTTTCTAAATCTGTTTTGTAAAGGTAAAGGCATTTTCTACAAAGACAGTTTTTGTCTGCTCTTACAGTAGCACATACTAAATGCAGTATTTTTCCCCTGTAACACTGAGCGATGCTTTGCAAGGTACATTACCTCACTGGATATAATGTGACAGCCTGATGTTATTTGCATGTAAATGTGGTTTCTCTAACTAGATTGTAAAACCTACCTGTGCCCAGTTGGTATATTTTCTTTGTGTGAACTATAAGACACATGAAGGGAATATCTCATTTCTGAAGTAACAAATAGGGAAACTAACACAGGGCTCATGAAATGCTTATTTTCAGTACTACTAAAAATGCACTTCACATGCCAGTGGAGTAATTTCCCATGGCTTTTCCTGCTTGCTTGTGGAAAAGGATCTTCTCCATACTGCTCTGTGTCACCCTAAACCTCAACAGCCACTGAACTGTCCAGTTAGTCAAGTCATGTCAGTGTACACCACTAGAGGGATATGTCCTGTAAATTTAGTATGTGGATCCAACAGGTTGTTGCTTGGGGCTGGGAAGAGGCTGCCATTCAGAAATGTGCTCTGTGAAATTCCAAAAATGACACCTGAATATTGAAGATCGTTTCTCTCAGCTCCCTTCACAATGCAAACCCTCTATCTTTGCTTGTTCTGCTGGTTGTTTAATTTCCACATAAAATGAGAACTAACAAACAGATTGATTACAACTCATTATGCCTGCGTATGTTTGAGAAGGATGTACATATTCCCTCTCATCAGTAATTGCCTGCTTAAGGGGAGATAAAGTTGGCACAGTCTTGAAGATGTTTTCACTACTTGGTTCTAATAGTGTTAAAATAAAGGTATTAATCACTGGTTCAGAAACAAAACTAAATGTTGTGCTACTGGTCCAGTTCTACATTAATTATGAACCTGTACAACTTCTAGGATTGTATTTTAATGGGTTGTTCCCAAATTCAACAACTTAGGTGTGAAATTCTAAGGCAAAGTTCTCAGCTCAGAAGTCTCACATCCCATGAAAATGTTGGTTTCCAACTTCAGCTCAAAGTGCCATCATTGGCAGCTTTCCGATAATCATCTGCTCTGCACTGATTACAGAAGAAGGTCATTAACACCTTGATATCATGCGAGCCTGATCTTGTGTAACATGTAATTTATCCCATTGGTTTATATGCAGATAGCATGATCAGGGTTCTAAAAGCAGAACTGCAAGAGACTGAATCAGTCTCTTTTGTAAAGTGCTTTGAAATTTAAGGGCACTTTATAAGCACCCTTGTAAGAATGATGAGAATTTTGCCTGAAGTAGTATCACAGAAATTATTAGCACATGAATGAATGGAAAAGTCATTTCCTAACACGAAGAGAGATCTGATCCAAGAAAGTTCAGTACACTTTAGCAAAACTGATTCCCTGTTGATAGCTAAGTAGGTATGTCTGTGCTGAAGTTAAATGGAGTCATGCGTTATGTAAAGCATTATCAGATCCTAGAGCCATATAAACACTCAGAAACTTGCCAGTGTCATAAGACTTTTCTTAGTCGTATTTTCATTTTCATACTGTCTGCATTTTGGCAGATGGCTGTGTTAGCGGATGGCATCAGCTGTGTGGGTTCTCTGACCAGGCACTGAGAGAATCAAGTCTGAATGCAACAATTTGAATAGTGTTGATCATAGAATCATAGAATGGCTTGGATTGGAAAGGACATCAAGGATCATGAATCTCCAACCCCCCTGCCACATGCAGGGCCACCAACCTCCACATGGCTGCCCAGGGCCCCATCCAACCTGGCCTTGAACACCTCCAGGGATGGACAGGGAATCCACAGCCTCTCTGGGCAGCTGTTCCAGCACCTCACCACTCTCATAGTAAAGAGCTTCCTCCTGATATCCAACCTAAATCTTTCCTCCGTCAACTT